CAAATAGCATGTACCATGAGCACGAGATTACGGAAACGTTATGAGCTATGTGGCGACAGTGGGACACGTGAAAATCACGTGAGCCGCGGAAAAAATAAAGAATGTAAACACAGACGTGTCCGCAGAAAATCAGAAGTAACTATCGAAAAGACGATTTGAAAACGCTGCAACAGCTTCACTCATAATATTTATCAACAAATAAGTGTCAAACAGAACAGGTCAACAAAAGCAAAATCAACGATGTGGGGATCTTTTACAAAGCAAGCACACAGGTACCGTGACTGAAAGTTTTGAAACATGGAAAATGCGTAACAAACGAAATTTCGAAACCCAAAAATTGGATGACTTCTTGTTTAGCGAGTGACATGAAGTGTACTTATCATTATATTCAACGCACGTCACTGCTCAATGGATCTGATAACAAAATGTGAGTAATTCTCATCAACACATAAGGCGAAATGTAGAGGACACAGAACATATGTACAAGTGACATCACGCAACGATTCGAGCTAAACTCTGGAGCAGTTTATCTGGAGACAGCCATATCTTAACTTTGTTCACCTATATATTTCAACAGATTAGGCACAAACTCTGGATTTAGGTCTAGAACGTTGACTAGAGAACTCTAGAAATCCTTGAGCCACTGAGCAGCCAGTCCTACTCTTTCACTTTTTCTTGAAGCTGCTACCTTCTTAACAGGAGCCCATATTTTAGTCATTCGAGGAACAAAATCTATGACGAGGAAAGCGTTTGGAAGGTTGAGAGCGGCTTTGCCTAACAATGATAATATCGAAGTGGTCGAAGCGAGAAAAACTCCGGTTCGATCTTCTAATAAACTCATAGCTGAAATACAACAGCATTAATGAAATTCAAGGATACTAAAATTACATAACATGTGTGAAGGACTCAGTTCTGTACACTTTGGGATCTTTTAGAAATGCTTTTTCACAATGCGCACTGGCACATAATGAATTCAATCCCTTCATGGAAGACGCCCGTATAAACTTACCAATGATTGGCGCACAAACTTCGCACAAATTCAGTAATGACTCAGGAATTTCAAGCGGTGAGACCATGGTAGACGCCGATGAGCTGATCACAGGAAAGTCGAATGGATTCGTCTGAAAAAAGCTTCATTCAGTGTGGGAGAGGAGAACGGACTGTTTTCGTGAACAGGTATTCGCCAGTTCATTAGAGCAGATAATTCAGTGCTGTATTGCACAGAGTACATTTTGGTAGATTCATGCAGCCAACAGGTTCGCTCCAAGTTTTACACCAGAATGGACTCACAAGTAATAATTGTAACTCTAGTACAAAATAGTAGGAAAGCTTTGATACTTTGTGTGAGCGTTTTGGGCATACTCCATTGATATGAGTGACAAGGAATGTAGATCTATCTATCTGGCGTTTCGAGCTATCTATCGGCGTTTCGAGCGAGCCATTCAGCATTTCGGCGATTAGGAATGATTGTTTCAGAAAGAACGTTAAAGGAAGCTAGCAGACTGCGCTAGATCCTACCTACACTCTACTAGTGAACAAAACGCTGGACGACTCTCAAAACACGAGATCGATACTCTACTTTCCTAATCGCTGAAAACGCTGGAGTACACTTAAAACGCCGAAGCAAAGTATGCACGCACTCTAAGGCTTTCGCGTTGCAGAACCGTAGGCACTTTGAATAAGATTTGCACAAGGAAACGTCTCTTGGGAGCAAATGTAGATGTCTGTTTTTCGTCCTGAGTAACTGATCCCAAAGAAATGAAAGGCTCGCCCATTCGGGTGGTAAACGATCTAAGATTTGCAGTATAGGCGTGGTGGGCGCAACTCGTCACATTAACTACGCCAAAAAGCACTGATTGAGTTCAGAAAACGCCAATTGAACAATTAAAAGAGAAGCGGGTTAAATCCACACATGCATTCTTCGCAAAATATCGAATTAGGTAGGGAGAAGCTAGTTTGCTTCGTACTTTCCAATTTACCCCCGCATGCATTTCGAATATAAAACAAACCACCTCACGAAAGACGTTCACAAGGTTTATGCTAGATGAAATTTCGCCAGTAGACGTGTTTAAGTGAGCTTCCTCGCAGAAATGTTTTTGAGCTGATTTGTCGACAGTGTATGCCTAGAACAGTAAACGCGATTCGTTCCATTATAGAGTTCTGTAGAAAGCCATCACCACCTTTATGAAAATTTCAATAATCTCGAGAAAGTGTGGAGAATTCCAGGCTGGCTTCCGAGAGCTACCAAGAAATTTCACGAAAGCTGTAAAGAGATCCGCACTAGTGCTACACAATTTGGGATAGGACGTCAGAAGCATTCCGATAATTGACAAGGCGAAATTGCGTACTCTGAAAAAAGAATGAGATATACAAGTTTAACAGCAACACAAGGAAAATTAGGATGTGAGCGCTATTTGCTGAATTTCGCAAAGGTATTCCGCTCAAATGCTACCTATTCGCTTGAATTCACACAGCAACTGGAACATAGAAAGGGAACCAAAAGGTGAACCGACAAAAGCAGACAGTGGGGTGTATTTCAACAAATATTTCCTTCGGAACACCACTTACCCTTGCTCGTTATGCGTAAGAGCATGAAGCAGGTGAGCAACGAAAAGCGTTAAATGGGCAGTCATAGCATGAGAAGGTACGGAACAAATGACACGAAGAAGAGCCCGAAGTGGACCACTTACAGCTGGATCATGCCCCTGTAATAACACTGAATAAGTGTCAATGTTACGAAGTGCACAAAACATACCAAGAAGAGCACAGGAACTAAATTAGCACCATCGCCTCCTTACTAGGAAATCTCTTGAGTTTAGAACTTACACAATCCGAAATTAGACGCCCTACAGCAGGAATCAATGTGCGAAGATGATTTTCAATGAGATCAGGACGCGACATCAGCAACTGCTTTGTTCCCATCAATGCGTCTCTCCGAACAGACTTCAAAAAAATCATAATAAGTAAAGGCAAACACACCAGAAATAGTAATGGAGGTACCAGATTTATGACTAAAAGTCGTAAGAGCTCCAGGAAGAATTTTAGATGGGTCATATTTAGGAAGCATTATTCATAATTGTCAAGTAAATTACTGCGCTGCTCTGGTAAGCACGAAATCGACCTGCACAAGCGCTTAAAATTATATGCCAACCCTGTCACACTCGAGTAGTGATTGACTAGAGATTCCACAGCCCTTCTGAGTACATAAGAGATTCCGAGACCATAATCGCTCGACAAGACCACGTAATTAAGAAAAGATCGCGAAATTAGGCAAACTATGGCAAAAAAAAGACTGGAAATCTCGCTCGTATTCGGCAGTATACTGAGCACGAAGAAGCCGAACAAAAAATGTTCCAAGGTAGCAACCTCCTGCTATCGAAAACGCCCTCTACAGGAGCCCTGAATTTAAAGTGACCCTTTCTAATTACGATCAAGTTCTCGCTTGGTCACCTTATTTGCCGTAGGGTTCCAATTCCACTGCTCTCTTGCCATTAGCACGTGTCCACGCCATTCCAGTTTCCGTGTCCCCAGCTGGGAACGAAGTCTGTATGATCCCTTTGACTTATCCTTTCAGACCGCATCCTGTCGGTCAGGCCAGTCACAGACCAATCTGGGCAACTAGCCTCAGCACATCGAAGCTGTTTGCCATGGTTTGTACCTATGGGCGATACTTTACTGCCATAGAACACCCCATCACCAATCAAGCATGACACTAGTGGACTTCATCGGCCCATTCACGCCCAGTATATGTCTCCGTTGGCGGGTGATTCGCTTCCCAGGTTCCGCCGTTAGCGAATGAGTCGCTTCCCAGATGTCGGAAATCTTATTCTTTCGATGATGCCCAAGACTATTCTTTGTCAACATTACCCATCTTCCCTTTCTTGGCCTGGTGTTCTTCTTTGCTATCCCCTATCCAGGTAATGTCGTCAGAGTAGGAGATGATCTTCAGTGACCACTGCGCTCTTTTATCACCAGCAGGAGTATGGTGACTTATTTCAGTCACCCGCTTTGTTTATTCATTAAATACGTAAGCACTTGCCTTGCTGAAGTGACCAAGCTGCCTGCATAGTTCTTCCAGGGACAAGCCACGGTAAGAGAGCGGTTTTTCCGACGACACACTTTTCTCTTGTAGCTGAGAGATCAGAACGACTTTCTTCGCTGCAATTAACTCATTAAATCTCGTTCTTTCAAATCTCTGAGGAAAGAGTCGCTTGTGAGGAGAACCCACTTGTTATAGTAGTGTCAGTAGTTGTTGTCTTTTTGAGCTTCTTGCCAACCTTCAACTTCACCTTTTTGAAATCCGCGTTCTTCTTTGCTTTCTTCTTAGTAACCATCTAAATCCGCAGATTAGATCAGAAGAGGTGCTCGTATGAGGACTGAACTGCTTATGAAGAATGAAAACGATTTCGTATACTCGAACAGTTAAAAAAATAATTCAAAGGGATGTTTGATTGGAGCGCGAAATTGACGGCACTGACTGACTGCTGCTCAGACTTTGTATATTTACGACGATATGTATGATTAGTACGGCCGTGAAGGTAGACACTAGAAACATTGTCTGAATGGGTAATAACAATGTGAAACTAAAAAAATTTATTCCAAAAAACTCAAAAGACAGCAAAAGTCGCGAAAGTTTCTCAAATATCTGCCGGGCAAAATATTTTGCCCGGATATTTGGGCCAAATATCGCAAGATATTCAAAAAACTTCTAATACTTTTGCTGTCTTGTGTGTTTTTTTGGAGTAAATTTTTGGAGTTTCACACTATAACCCGATTAGAAACATTACAACACTAAAAGGCCC